CTGGAGTTTGCATCGTGGTTCCGGCCCGGAGGTCTGAGGATGCAGAGCGTGAGGTTCCCCGCCCCCCGGCTCCGCCCCGCGCCGCCCCGCCCGGACCTCCCCTTGAAGCGTTTCGCAGGTTCTACAAATTAGGCTACTTAACTCGTCTCCAAATATTCCCCCCACAATGTGGATTATATTTATTACATTAAAGTCCTCACGATACATAAAGACAAGATCACAAAAACTGTCAACAAGATGCCATTTTTGTAAGAAAATATCATAGACCTATGTACACAGTAAGAACATAGCAGCCTATTTCTAATATTAGCAGTTTATCTTTGGTAAGTATGATCGCGTGTAATTTATTTTGGCTTATATGTATTTTCTATAATTAACACATACTTCTTTTATGTTTCTGAAAACTTTTAAATTTATTTTTTATTTTTCAAATACAGTTTATTTTCAGTAATATTTTCAGATAATATTCTTTGGGGCTTCTAGCGTCTGCTCTTGGGGGATGAGGAGAACCATGGGGATCTCCCTGGGGCCTGGGGTACTCAGACCAGAGCATTACTGCTGTGATTGCTCTCTGGTGGTTACTGATGTCACAGGGGAAAGGAGCAACACTGTATGTCTTCTTTCAGAACTCAACACAGGAATGGGAAAAAACCTAGGCTCTAGGTCTGGAGTTGGGCCCTGGTATAACAATCTGTGTACACTCGTGCCTCAGTTCCATTATCTATAAAATGGGTTAATTGATAGTCCTACCTCATAGAGCTGTCAGAATAAATAGTTGTCATTGTTTCTGTTAAGTTGTCTCATGTGGAATCATTAGCATTTGGCCTGTTTTTTTGTGTTTTTTTTTTTACCTACATCATCCAACCTTAGGCTGCTGTGGTTCCCATGGGAGGGAGAACAAGACTACCCTCTATGTGAAAGGGAAATGGAGGCAAAGGTGGAGGGTAAGTTGCCTAAGATCACACTGGGGAAGAGGAAAAGGGACCAACTCTGTTCATTCTCCATGACCAATATTCTGCTGGCCACTTGAAGCTGGGTCCTCAAAAAAAAAATTTTTTTTAATGAAAGAACAGTGTCGTTCATGCCCACTTCACTAGAACTGTTTTATTTCTAATTTTTTTAACTGTGGCCTCCAACTGTTCCGCATTTGGATAAGAGGGCAAAACAGGGATGAGATGGTCTCCAAGCACAATATCTCCTGATTATAAGAACGTTTAACCCTTCCTGGAGGACCCTTTTAAACTGATATTATTTTATTTTCAATAAAGTTTGACCACTTTATAACTTGACTAGAGGCCCGGTGCACAAAACTTTGTGCACTCGGGCGGGGGGCGGGGAGGAGGGAGTCCCTCAGCCTGGCCTGTGCCCTCTCGCAGTCTGGGACCCCTTGGGGGATGTCCACCTGCTGGCTTAGGCCCACTCCCTGGGTGATTGGGCCTAAGCTGGCAGTCAGACATTCCTCTGGCAGCCCGGGAGCCCTTGGGGGATGTCCACTTGCCAGCGGGGAGCAGGCCTAAACTGCAGTCGGACATTCTTAGCGCTGCTGAGGAGGCGGGAAAAGCTCCCACTACCGCTGTACTGGCAGCCATCAACCTAGCTTGTGGCTGAGCAGAGCTCCCCATGTGGGAGCACACTGACCACCAAGGGGCAGCTCCTGCATTGAATGTCTGCTCCCTGGTGGTCAGTGTGTGGCATAGTGACCAGTCATTCCCAGTCGTTCTGCTGTTAGGGTCAATTTGCATATTGCCCTTTTATTATATAGGATTAGTGACCTGGTGCATGAATTCAAGCACATTGAAAGGAAATCCCAACTTCTCTTTCAGGTAATTGTCAGCAACACAGCAGTAAATATCAACATGAAGCAGATTATTATTGTAGATCACACAGGGAGAACAAAGGGTGAAATACTTAACTGCAGCAGTGTTTGACTATATTCTGCACAGTGAGAAAACCTGAAGTCATTTTCAAGGTCCACCATTTCTTCTTTTCTTTTTTCTCCCCTAAGGTCCACCATTTCTTCCTTTCAGGAGGGTCAAGTTTCTAAGCTTTCTAAATCTCCATTTTCCAGCTAATGAAAATAAAACTGGATTCCACCAAGTCTCCTATCTGCCTACTCCAGGACTTCTGTGAGGATCAAAGAAACTGCAAGGAGGCTAGTTGCTAGGAAAAGGAAGCCAGGTGTTGCTGCATGACATCATTACCCAAACGGAGGGAAGGTCACTTAGAATATTAGCCTTTTATTTATATAATAAAAGGCTAATATGCAAATTGTCCCCTTGACTGTGAGTTTGACCAGGGGGGCGGGGCCATCTGGCCAACCGCCTGTGGTCAATTGGCCCGGACCCCACCCGTGCACGAATTTGTGCACTGGGCCTCTAGTGTGTGTGTGTGTGTGTGTGTGTGTGTGTGTGTGTGTGTGTATAAATTTTTTTTTATAAGTTTACTACAAAGTGCTGAGGAACATGGGAGTTGGTATCTGAATTCCTGCTTCCTAGTGTATAATTTAGACAAGTGACTGGACCTTCCTACGCCTCAGTTTTCCTAATCTATAAAATGGGGACAGTGATGATTGCTTTGAAAGTTTTCATTATAAACTGTCTGACAGAATGAGTACCTAATAAATGTGGGGTTTGGAGTGGTGGGGGGGGGGTTTGTTTGTTTTTTGGTTCATTTGTTTTTAAGAATAGAGTCCCTGATTTCTCATCCTCTGAGGGAGATAAGCTAGCTATTTTAACTCACAAGAACACGACCTCAATCAGAGGAGAGAAGTGGCTGGTTTTGCAGCAAAGGTGACTATGGCCTTGACTCCTCTGGGAGCAGCAGGCAGTGCTCAGCAGATTGTTGTGCTCGGGGCCAAAGGTCTGCCCCAGTGCAGTAGGCGATACCACTGTCAACGTTTTTTTCTTCATTCCTGAGATGTCTCCCAGCAATTCTACCTGGTCTAGCTCTCTCATGGTTACCCACCTTTTTAAAATTCTTACCTGCCTTGTTGCAAAAAGCAGCTGGTTCCTTGATGGGGGGCGGGGGAGCGGTGTCCTGTGAGTGCATGATTAAAATAACTTAAAAGGATAATTTTAATGCATGAATTGCTGCAGTTTTACATTACCAGTGAAAATTTTTATCAGGGTGTTTTATTTTTCTGCCATTTTCACCTGTTGTGTTTTGATGCACTGGCCTTCTTCCCCCATCAATCCTGTGAAAGGCAAGGGGTTTGCAGAGAGAAGATGGAGGGCAGAGATTCACCCGAGGTTAGAACGAGCAATGGTAGCAAGTGTTTGGGCTCCACTGCATCTGTGAGTGGGAGCCTTCAGAACCACGTAGGATCGGGAATGGTGGGGTCTGGGGCTGAGCACAGACTGCTTAGGACTGACTCTTCCTGGGTGAGGAACAGCCACGTCTAGAAACAAGGGCCCAGGAAGAGGAGGATGTGCAACTGTGGTCCTTGTGATCACCAGGCATCAGTCGCTTTTATGTTCTCAAAGCGGAGGTTCTCAACCCTGGCTGCACATGCGAGTCCACTGGGCCCCACACCCCAAGTATAGGACTGGGGGTGGCACCGTCCTTTCCCAGTATTCCTCCAATGACCCTTATTTGTAGCCAGGGTTAAGAACCAGCGCCTTGAATGCAGGTTTATGCAGCAGAATCCCAGAACCTGTGCAGGGGCACCTGGCGGGGAGGCTGGTCTAGCTCTTACACCAGGTCACTCAGAGGGGATGGACTTAGTCCACACCTGCCCCTCTTGGACCACAAGGCAGAGGAGGGGCCTGCTGGGTGGTCTGGACGTATTCGAAATGATCTGTCCAGTACAACCCAAGGGCTTGCCTCTATCAGATAGGGCACTGGCCACTGTGGGTGACACTGTGTGAGAGGGGACTCTGGGCCTCTGGATTTGCACAGTCAAGCCAGGAATATGGTGAGTCTAGCTTCAGGAAGAGGTGCCCCAGCCAGAGCCCTCTGCCTTCCTGTTGGCTGCAGGCTTAGCCCAGACAATCCCACTCACACTGGTCCTCCTGGGAAGATTAACATCCTCAGTTCACACTTTACGTTTTATAAACCTGTATTTCAAAATTACTCCTGGTAGTGAGAGGTCAATGGGAGAACGAAGGGGACATATGTAATACTTTCAACAATAAGGATTAAAAAATAAATAAAATGGCTACTGGTGATTTGTTTTCTCCTAGTGTCCGGCCCATTCACCAGGAAGAATCCAAGGCTCCAAGCTCTCATCTGGGAACTAAGCCAAACCACAGCTGAACCCGAGTCCCAGCTCCGTCCTCCGCTTTCTTTATGGGTAGCCAAGGGGCTCTGACCCTGGTCCTTCTCCAGCCACCCTCTCCGCTGCTGAGGCACAGAATGGAGTGGCACTACTGACCTCAGCTTCGGGGTGCTGAAGTAACCAGTCTCCTGACGGAGCCATTTCCAAACACCCTGTTCCTTTTGCCAGTAACCTGGGGCTGAAAGCCACATTCCAGGGCTTGCAATAGTGGATGGGAAAATGGGCATCACATGCCAGCAACTCAGACCTCACTTCTGATTCTCAGACCCCAGGATAGATCAGGACTCCAAAGTGGCTGACATCACCTTCCTCGGGGAGCTGGGAGCTTGGAGAGGGGGCGGGGGGCAGAAAAGCAGACAAGACAGAAGATCAGGACGGTAACTGGAGCTTTCACAGGCCCTGCTTCTTGGAGGGTAGGGTGGAGGTGGGGCTGCACCCTGAGGGAGAAGTGCCTGCCTGGGCAGACAGAGCCAGGGGCGGTGGAAGGAGGGCTAGCTCCCCCAGGTCAGATTCTGGAATAGCTGGACTCAATTTTAAAGGGGTTACAGCAATTCTAAGACAGGTTCCCAGTGCCTGGATTTAGGCCCAGAAGGATCCTGGGTGAATGACCAACTGAGCTGGAGAAGCAAAGTAATGGGAAGTATAAGGTATTTCCTGTGAACCAACACTAAAAACTTGTGTCACTTAATGATCCAGAAAGAGATGAGCTTCCAGTGCCTGAGGACTACAGATTCTTAAGTTTCAGAAGAGAAAAGGTTTTCCGCAGGTTGGGTTTCCAGAGTTGGAGTCTGGCTCTGCCTGTTGTGAGTCTTGAGACTCACAGCGCCCGGCAGCAACATCCCAAACACCAAGGAAGCCACGGTGTCCCGGGATGCAGACAGGGGCCGAGGGGCCGAGGGGCCTGGCTCGAGGAAGCTGCTCCAGACCGAGGCTCACTGACTGAGTCTGGCAAAAGGAATAAAGGACACAGAGGAGCTCGGGCCACCACCTCCGGCCAACTTTTCCTGAAGCCACAAGACAGGGGAGGAGGCCCAAGGACTAAGCTGAGACTCCCAGAGCTGGTGCCACTGCTGGGACTGGGCTCCGTGGCTCGGCCAGTGCAGGCCAGGACTTCAGCTGGAGAATCGACCAGAGAGGGGCCCCAAATTCTGGCTCAAATGGTGGCAGGGAAGAAGGCTGGTCCCAGGAGCACGGCAGCAAAGTCAGGGCTGGCACCGTGGTCCAGTGGGTGAGCCTGCTGTGTGGGCGTTGGGGACGAGAACCAGGAAGTGCAGGCCCGGAGCCAAGGGCAGCGGCTTCCTAGCAGCTCTGCCCTCCCAGGTCCACTGCTCTGGGCCCCTTCCCTCCCTACAGAAGTGGACAGTGATGGGGATTGTTGCAGGAACATTTCCTGTTCCCAGTAACAGCCTAGAAGGACCTCCTCTCAGGGGTTCCCTGCACACCCTCCCTCAGAAAAACACTGATCCTCTCGGAGGAAGCGGGAACATCAGGCTCAGAGAGGAACCGCCTGCTCCTTTCACTCATGCATCCATTCGTTTCACAAACTTTTATTAACGCACCCACAGTTTACCAGGCCCTGGCGTGACAAAGTTGGGTAACACAGCCCCTGCCCTCAAAGAGCGCAAAGTCTGGGGGCGGGGCTGGCACGTGAGCACGTGTTCCTATTGTGGGGAGCTGTATACCAGGTGCTGCAGGGCATGAGGTGCAGCGGGGTGAGCAGGGTGGGGCCGGGGAGGACTACACGTCAGGCAATAAATAGACTTGCCACATGGGCACTCTGTCCAGGCAGCATGGACCCACCAACGATGCACTGGAGGGAAGCCTGTATGGTTCCCGGGGGCCCTTCCCCACCCCTCTCCTGGGACTCGTGTGCCGGCTGCGTGATGGAGAGAGAGCACCTCTCCACTCCAGGCACCGATGAAAGAGGCCCCACCACGGGCCGCCCAAGGAGCTGAGACATAGTCCTGGATGCATTTCCCGAGAGCTGCTCCACACCCACAGCCTCTGCAGCTTAATAGGGTTTTGCTTTTCTACCTTCTCCCATGGGCAGGACAGCAGCGCGTCAGGTGCCAGCCCCAAGGTGGACACCCTCGAGTAGCCACACTCACAGCAGTCCCACCAGCTCAATGAGCTGCTGAATATTCCTGTGAGGGTCGGACAGGCCGTTCCTGATGTTCTCCAGCAGGCATCTCTTCAGCTCAAACACGGCCTCACTGTACCCCAAGCTCACGGCAGCCATGGGAGGCGCTCCGTGCCACAGGCCAGGAACATGCCAGACATGCTGCTTCTCGGGGTCACAGAAGGCCAGGTCCGCCAGCATCCGGAGGCCGTCTCCCTGCTTGTCCACGTGTGTGGAGGCTCTGCTCATGTCCGAGGGTGACTCCAGTAGCGGCCTCCTCTCCCGTGGCTTCGGGCCAGGGGCAGACGTGTCATGAAGGTTCTGGTACACAAACTGGTAGTTGGGCATGTGCCCCGTTTTCTCCAGCCGCAGGAAGGCATGTAAAATAGCCGGTGGGATGTCCCTTGTTTCCGCTAAACTGACCACGGTGACATCGCTCAGCCCCATAATCAAAGTGGCCAGGGAGGCCTCCAGCTCAAAGCGCTCCCCAGCTGTGGCCGGGGCGCCTGCTATCAACCCTCCCGAATCTATTACCAGGATGTGGTCACAGCCCAAGTCCTGGCTGAAGCTCTCGGCCACTGTGACAAGCTGCATGAAGGCCCCTCGAGGACCCCGACCCCTCCCTGTGGCAAACCGAAGCCCAAACATGGTGTTGAGAAGAGTGGACTTCCCGGTTCCGGGCACGCCCAGCGCTGACAGCACTACCAGCCGTGACCTTCTCTCCAGGCGCGTGTGCAGCTCCTTCAAGAGCCCCGTGACCCAGCGCAGGGGGGTGCTCCGCGTGCTCCCGTCAACCAGCTCCAGGGGCAGCCCCCTCACCAGCAGCTCCAAGGCCAAGCCTGGGAAGTGGGCGAACCGCCTCTGGCCTGTGGGCAGCTTCCCAGCCTCCACCAGGCAGCTCTCTGCCTCGTAAAACTGTCCCATCTCCCGCAGGAAGTGCTCCACCCCCAGGGGCTCCGGCCAGAGCGGCTCTCGGTCCCCAGCCCCACCCTGCTTTGGTCTCGGGGCCGGAGCTGCCTCTGGAGGCTGCCTTGGCCTTGGCTGGGCCACCCAGGCCAGGCCCCACTCCATCCACCTCAGGAAATACTGCCTCTCGCCCAGAGAGGGGCAGCTGATGCCCGCAATGAACTCCTGCACGCCCCCCGCAGGGTCGTGGCCGCTCTGCTGCGTGCGAAGTTCCAGCAGCCGCTGCCTCAGCTCGGCCCGGCGCTTGTCCGCCAGGTCCCCGGCCCACTGCGCCTGGCACAGCTCCTTCTCCACACGAGCTGCTTTCCTCCACGGCTCTCCCTGCAGCCTCAGCTCTTCCCTGCGGTAGGCATCGGGGTCTCGGATGCTCCTGGTGATCCGCTCCATCCGGTCCTTCGCCCGCTGGCACTCCTCACAGTCCTCGTCCACCTTCAGCCCCAGCCTGCGGGCTGCATGGGCCATGTCCTCCACAGACACCCTCCTGCAGGGGGACCGGGCCACGCTCGCCACGATGGCGCGGACCCTGCGCGTGAAGCGGGCACCATCCGTGCTGCTGACCTTGACGAGCACGTGGGAGTGGTCCATCCTCAGCA